ACAGAGGTGTACAGGGTCATTCAAAAATATCTCGATATAAATTCCGATTTCGGGAGCATCGTGTGCATCTGTTAGGATTCCCCATGTTAGAGATTCGATTTATGAATTTGTTCAATGCAACGTCGATGTTCAGCGTAAATTTGGTTTGCTGGTGTGTTATGTTTTTATATGACGATACGACCTGATAGTATGTTAACTTTCTCGTTAGAATGGACGAGATATCTCGGTTCCACGATATCGAAGAAGCAGTACCTCGTCCATAGCATCGTACGTACATCATGGTGACGAGATATCTTGTCTATAGCATCGTTTCTTCGACATCGTGCTGAACCGAGATATCGCGTTTATTTTGACGAAAGGATTAAACGTTCTTGTTTGTAGTTTTAAATCAATTTTGTTTACGTATGTATGTTCTCCGGTTAAACAAACACCTGACACACTATAGGTTTCTTTTGTTTCATCGCGTTTTACCTAATTGAAACTTCAAAGAATAACTTTTATTTTTAGTTTTAAATTATTCATTATTAAATTATTAGTTTTGATATTATTATATATTAATGAAACATTTGATTTTGTTCGTTTTATCGTTTTGTACTGTAATGAAAAAAGTAATTAACATAATAATAGTAGTATGTAAATGTTAAACTGTAAATAAATTACCCATCCTGTTATGGTTATGTCATTTCGTCATTTGAGGCAATTACGAAGAAAATGAACTTTGCACTTGAAAAGCAACCCTCAATTGCCATTTGATACGAAGCAGCTACATTTGAGTTTCTTTACTTATAAATCCAATCTTTCACTATCTTAAGGAGAAAATTAAGTAAAAATACATTGAAATTTTTAGAATATATAGAATTTTGAGTGTATACTATATATATCCTCATTTTATATATCTCGGCCGTTGCATCTCAGCAAAGATGCAGTGCTGGGTGTAACAATTTATCAGGCACTTCGAAATTTACCACAAAAAATGAACAATAAAATAACATAAAATAAAGAAATGCTACAGAAATGGAAGCCAATGACACACAAGATATCGTAAGCTGCATTTGTAGATTTTCATCAAGAATCTATCCAGTAGTTTTCTGAGATTACCT